GGGAAAGAGGAAAGGCACAGGGACAGGGAGGCTGTGCTACCAGACCCCGAATGCTGCCGGATCACGGAACAGAAGCTGACAGTGGTTGCAGCTTGCCTGGCCAGGGGTCTTACCCAGGACCATGCTTTCTGTGCCAGCAGACTGCTGCCCAGTAGCAAAATGCATGGCCCTGGCCAGCACTGGTGGGGAGCACCATTTGTTTCTCTATCTAAACAACACATTTCAAGTGTAACCCTTAAGTACCTGGCACTTCTGTGTTTTGTGCATCTCCCTGTGTGACACTTCTGTGCTGCCGTCCCCACGGCACGGAGGGAAGCAGCACAGTGCATCCAAAGGATGCTCTGGCATCCTTGACACTTCAAGGCTCCCTAGGCAGCAGTCCTGCAAGTACAACGGGACCAAGCAGCATTCCTTCTCTGCAGACAGCATGACACCACCACAAGCAGCACGCAGCTCAGCACCCAAATGCTTTGAGCAGGTGCCCTGTGAAGGCTCTGGGAGCACTCCTGCAATACCACTCAGCAAGATCCCTCCCTGTCCAGAGAGTGGCTGTCCCCATGCAATGGGGATGTGCTGCCAAATCCCAGCTGCTTTGTGTCCAAGCTGGCAGCTTCCAACAGCGTAAACCCACCCAGCTGGATTCAGGGCAGCTCAGCAGGGCTCTCTAGCTGAGTTCCTCAACCCTGCAGAGCCCATGGATGCACAGATGTCCTTAGTGGAGTTAATGTGCAAAATTCCCCTCTATAATCCACCAAAAGAACTACAGCCAAGCTGACTGCCAGGAAAGCCAGTGAATTTTGGAGGTCCCCCATTTTGTCCCATTTTTGCAGGGCTGTCATAGGTGATGCCACCTCTGGACCCAGCCATCGCTCCCCCCCATAACCCTCCTCTGCCTCCTAGACCCAGGATCATCTTGGGTCCTCCAGCTCCCAAAGCTGCCAGTGTCTCTAAAATGTAGTCTCTCTAAAGACATCGCTAAGGTAAGCCCTGAATCCTCTGCCAGCCTGGAGAGAAGCGAGCTAGTGGTTGGTGCAGATGTGTGGTGGCAATGGAGACAAAGTCACCCCAAAGAGGTGAGAGCAGGATGAGGCATCCGTCATGGTCATGGAGTAGGGTGTTCGGGCTTGGGGCTGTAAGGCTGCTGCTTCTTTTCATCTGCTCTTCCCTTCAAGGGTGGGTTGCACAGGGCAGAGTGCAGAAAAAGTGGGGGTGAAGGTCTAGGAAGCGGTGCCCTGGCTGTAGGAGCATCTGGGGACATGCAGGGGTGTGGTCAGGGTGAGGGGGACCAGCAGGCGCTGGGGGGATGCAGGACAGCCAAATCTCACAGCTGCGGGCAGGAGGAGAAGCACATATCACGGAGAGCAGAAAAGTGATAATATCCAGAAATGTAGTATCAGGCAAGCCCTGAGAGTGCACCCAGCTTGCCACAGGAGAGAGGTCGGAGGAGCAGTACTCACATTTTTTGGAACCCCCAAAGTGGAAGAAGCATAAAGAGACTCACCCTGCTGGCTGTGTCTCTGGGCGTACACCACCACCACCACGGCGAGCACCACGCAGCAGGCTGACGGGACGGGGTTAGCCATCTGTGGAAGCAAACACAGGCAGGAGCAGTCAGGGTTTGCCCCCAGTAGATCTCACACGCGTTGCGCTAAGAGCTGGTCCCTCCTGGGCAGCCAAAGGGTGCAAGAAGATGGCCATGAAGCCAGACTTCATCTCAGCCACGGGGGAATTCACTGCAAAATGAGGTCTTTTGCTGGTGCAAGCTTCATTGTTCAATGGCCTGTGGCACTTACAATGGGAGCTGCCAACACAACCAGGTGCCCAAAGGCGATGACACGCCTTGCACGAAAGCTGCATTTTCCTTGTCTGATTTTCAGCCTTCCCCTTAAGAAAGTCAAACCCTGGTGCTGGGCTCTCCTTGGCAGCTGCAGCATCACCCTAGGAGCAGACACTACCTGCAGGTGGGTTGCAGAGGTTCTTTGAAGAGATGGGAGCACTCCTGGGCACTTCACAGCAGCAGCCAGTGCTCAGGATGTGCAAAATGCAGATCCCTGCACTGGCAGCTGCTGCTGTGGTGTGGCCCCTTCCCGGCACTAGCACTGGGCATGGTGCTGCCCGCTAGCCTGATGCGACAGTAGCAGCATTTCTGGGCATGCCAGGGACAGCACAACCCTCATCAGTGTCTTTGCAGTAAACGAGGGATGCAGCATGTGACCTCAGCCAGCTGCCATCGACATCCCAACAGGTCACAGTCAGTCCCCATCTCTCCAGGCTGGGAGAGGAGCAGACGCTGCTCCGTCCTGGTGAGCTGTGCCACGTCCCAGGGGGATGCTGGGGTGCAGGGAGCGGGGGACAGCTAAGAAGGCAGATGGGTGGAGGTATGCTGGGCTTTAGGGACAAGCAGGGAACATCCTCCTTACACCAACAAGTCTCCCAGGAGTGGACAAACAGCAGCAACAACCACAAGGATGCTCCGTGCAGCTCTGCCAGGCTTGGAGGTGCCCAAGCTCTCTTCTTGTTGCAGCCAGGGCTGGCAGAGGAGACCGGAGTTGGGAGGGAGCTGCTAAGGACAGCAATGGGGATGCCGGGCCCACCCACCAGGAGATAAACAGCACAATGCGTGAAAAGCAAATTACACCTTCAAAACTGTTTAAACCTCTCTAATCTCCAGTGCTGTATCGGTAATGCGCGGAGGATTGCCTTTTAATCTAGAACATGAGTATGGGCTCGTTAGCCAGATGGCATCCATTTAAACCTAAATAAAGGGGGAGCTGTACTGGCCAGAGAAAAAAATCCAGCATAACATATTCCATTACCCAACATGGCTGTTGAGGGAGCCCAGATGGCCTCGGGTTCGCAGCAGGTCGCAAGCCTTTGCACGGCTGGACGGGAAGGCAAGAGCGCCTGGGAGGGATATCATAGGCAGATTTTGGGGTGCAGCTGGACCTGCCTGGCCTCAGATGCCTCTCAGGGGCAAGGATGCTGGGGGAGGTGGAGTATCTGAAGATGAGGAGCCCGAAGATGGTCAGAGCAGGGACCCACGGCCTCGCCGCTGAATTTGCAGTGCTGAGTTTGGGCTGGGAGGACTGGCAGCGAGAGCCGTCCCCAGTGCACTGCAGAGCAGGGACATGCCAGCCCCAGACCCCGCTCCCAGCCCAGCCACAGCTCTCCCAGATCACCTTGAGCAAATCGCTCTCACCACCTCCCCTGATGCCTCAGTTTCCTCGCCTGTAAAACAGAGATAATAAAGGTGACCTTCCTTCGAAAACTCTGCAAGAGGAGCGCAAATTGCTAATTATAATACTGTTATCATTCACTCTCCTGCTCCTCTCCTGATCCTCTTTTCCCTGTGCCTGCTCTCTGCTCTGCCTCCTCGAAATGACCCCACCATGCTCTTAGCACAGCTCTCCTGCTGCCAACCTGAATTGCACCAGGGCCAGACCCCCATCCCTGCACCACAGTCCAGGTACCCCCCAGGTAGAACAACCATCCCATCTCTGGCAATGACGGGATGTGGGACAGGACCCCCTCTGCCCCCCTGGCAACTAGCCTGATCTTCGAAAATTGTGAGATCTGCTCACCACAGCCTCCAGTTTGGCTCATGCCAGTGCTAATATCACCGCCAACCTTCACACTCCGCATCTCAGTACTGCCAGGGAGAAAAGCCACCCGCCCTCCCCTGCTGCTCCTCGTCTTATGGGCGGTTAAAATAATCGCTGCTCTCCTGCCCATGAGCCTGGCAGCCTCACCCCAGGCCAGACCAGCGCCGCGAAGGCCAGACCAGCGCGGAGACAGGCACTGCAGCGACATGGCAAGGGACGGTTCCTGTCCCGAAGCACCGACGGTCTCCGGGGTGAGGCTATTTGTCTACAGGTGGGAAAAGAAAGAGAGGAGGGTCCAGACTGAGGTCCCTGGGGATCCTGTGGCATGGGAAGGACAGAGGCAGAAGCTCCCAGTGCTGACAGAAACCTCACTGCTTGGCTGCTTTCACCCTCTAAAGCCTAATTTCTGCTCAGACATGAGCCCTGCCACCAGCCAGGAGCCGCAGCTATTTTAGTGCGAAAAATCTAGCCAGAAAACCAACTTTTTCTCACTTGAATCGCAATTTCCCATGCAGTATTTGCTTTGTTTGTCTGTTTTGCCTAAAGCCATGCTGATTATTTTTTTCCAAGCACATAACAAAACCTTCGCGATTTCTGCAGATGCTTCTAATGCAAATTTCCATTTGCTGTATTTGCTCATTTAACAGTTTCTCTAGCAAAAGCCAGCACCCCGGCACGCGGGCGCACGGGCCAGCGAGCAGCAGCTCACCAGGCGTGCAGCTCCCCAGACTGCGTCCCTGCTCCAGCAGGGACCAGCTGAAAGGTGACGGTGGGGAACCGCATTTGTTACACAGCAAACCCAGCAGTGGGAAACTCAATCTTCTGCTGAAAAATAGGTTGCAGAATATTTGCTTTTTCCCCTGCAGTGAATCATTTCTTGGCAGCAAGGAAGAGGAAAGAGGAGCCTGGGCAGGAGTGGAGGGAGGCAAGGGGGCACACAAGATGTGGTGGGCTGGCAGCTGTGGTGCTGGAGCTACCTCCGGCAGCCTTCCTCGCTGTCCCCAGCTTCTTGTTTTGGGAGAAAGGAACCAGTCTATCCTTCTCTGCCTTGTCCTCTGCACCAAGGGCAATGAGTACATCAGTCACGGTCACTCTTAGCAGACGACAACTCAATATAACCATGAACATGGCCCTCTCTGGCAGCTCTTGGTCTAAATCAAATGCATTTCCAGTCCTGCTTTCCCTGAGCTGGATGAGGCTACAGGTAAGCAGGATGTGGCGAGACCTATGTGAAGATAAGCCCGTAGGCTGTCCCTGCAAGCAGGACTGAAGGGGCACAGCAATGTGACATTAACTGCCATGGCATGATGGCATGAAGACAGTCCCAATGTGGGTAGCAAGAGCAAAGAGGATGGTGTATCCAGGCAAAAGTAGGGTGCGACTGTCAGCTGAACAGTCCCAGTGTGCTCTTCTGAGTGAGCAGAGGGATGGATGCTTTCCAGCCCTCCCTTAAAAGTGAGCCATGGGGATGCTCACTGGCAATGGAGTATCAACTAGCGACAGCCAGCTGGAAACTGCTTGGCCATCCCGAGAGCACCTTCCACAGCCAAGAGACTGCCTGTTGCAGGTTGGGATAAACCTGGGACCTTCTGATGTTCCTGTGATGGAGAGCAAGCTGCCGTGACCTGCCCCAGGTGTCCAGCAGCTCCAGGACAGGGCTGTCCTGGGTGGTGAGGGACACAGGCTGCAGCCCAGATTCCTCATTCCACAGTTCCCTCCCAGCCACAATAAATAAGTAAGACCCTGTTCTGGAAGTGGGTGGCTCCACAAAAAAAAAACCACAGCACTTCCACCACAAAGTCTTCTGTCGGACAGTTCCCCACTGGGTGCTGTTACAGTGCCTGGCTCTGAAGTGGTGACCTGGGGGAGAAAACAGCTCTGCATAGTTTTTTCCTTCCTGCATGCCCCCCCTGTGACCTTGCCAAGAGCCTTCCAAGGGAGCTCTGCAGCGCCTGTTACTGCAGGCACCCACGGCAGACACCACAGTGTGCCTGTACTGCAGACAGCGACTGTAGACGCTACGGTGTGCCTGTACTGCAGGCACCAACGGTAAACACGGTGGTACAACCCCTGCTGCAGACACCAGCTGTAGACACCATGGTACGCCTGTACTGCAGATGCTGGCTGTAGGTGCTATGATACACCTGTGCTGCAGACAGCAACTGCAAACGCTCTGGTATGCCTGTGCTGCAGACACCAGCTGTACACGCTAAGGTATGCCTGTTCTGCTCACACTTACACTCACTGCAGCACACCCGTTCTGCAGAGGCCAACAGTGGGCACTACGGTACACCTGCACTGCAGATACTGACTGTTGACCTTACAGTACACCTGTAACGCAGACGCTGGCTGTAGATGGTACCATACACCTGTACCGCAGATGCTGACCGCGGACACTGCAGCACTCCTATCCTGCAGGAGAGGTCGTGATGCCTGTAGTGCAAACCCTGACTGTAGCCATTACAGTGCACCTGCAATGGAGAGACTCACAGCAGAGTGAGTCCTCTCTCCTCCTGGGCCCCAGCCCCACAGAGACACCCTCACCAAAGCCACCCTCCATCGCTCAGCCCAGCCCTTTGCTAGCAGAGATCCTGCCACGGGTTTCCCCAGCACTGGAGATCTGAGGTGCCTCCAGGGAGCTTCCATCCCTCCTGGAGGGCAGTGTGTGCTGCTGGGAAGCGCAGCAAAGCTCCGCAGTGGTCAGGACATTGTCCAGCCCCGGTTCCAGTAGGGATTGCACCACTCGTGGGCAGCACTGTGGGCAGAAGGGCAGCCATGAGAGAAGCGCTTGGGTGCCCAGAAGCACCAAATGCCATCTCCTCCCTTCAGACCTCCCCTGGCAGCAAGGCAAGGGAAAGAAAAGTTAAAAATAGTTGTTGCCCAATGCTGTACACTTGCTAACAGCCCTAAAACCTCCTGGTCTCACAAAGTGCTGTTTGCACTGAACTCCACTTTGCTGCTCAAGAGGAGGAGAGAAAAGA